GGAAGTCCGAGATCGTTGGACTTTTTCTGAGGCAATCCAACCTCTGGTAACGTCTTCCTTCCGAAGTAAAGCCGTTGGTACCGTCCAATGTGTTGATGATGGGTTCGGTAGATTCCAGGTGTGGCAGTCGTCTCTCTAACACTCGATTGCCGTTAATGATTAATCACACATTTAATGTAGGGCTACGTCTTTCGGGAAGGGTGCCATTTCAGGGAAATGCAACGAAAATCGGTCAGACTTTAAATGCTAATAACTTGGCCAATAATCAATGGATTTTGATGATTTGTGTGTCGATCGATTCACCAGTGTTATAATATTTGTGTGGTATGTCACACATTATAATTGTTAAATATTTAAATAGTTAACAATGAAGAAATATGGAAATGAACCGCAAGGTGCTTACCCCTAACACAGCCATCAGAAAGTTGATCCCTAACGACACAGGGACGTTGCACGTTGGATGGATCGACCGCGGACTTGCAGCGTAAACATCGCAGTATTCCTAGGAGCTCAATACATACACCTCACACCAATGAAAAACAACCAGACGCAGACGCAAATCGGTCGAGGGAAATGGATAAGCTGCACTTACCGTCGGGAGATTCTGTTACAGATATATTGTCAAAAATACATTGGCATAAATTTAAGCTGTCATTATTATTACCAATCTGCAAACATTGAAGAACTTGATTGTTTTTAACTAGTTCGTTTATTTAGATAGGCTCAGTCGTGTGTAACACTTTGCGGAGCCAAAAATCCGTATTTTTTTTAATTAATATTTTAAACAGCAGTAAATCTAGGTTAGTATTGGGTACCAATTACTAGTGGCGGGCTCGAGGTTAATGGGTAACAATTTCGATTGGAAGGAGCTAGGTAGGAAACAGGTTTCTGAAGCCACTACTCTCGAACGGTTGACCAAATGCTGGCTGGGCAGGGGCAAGTGCACAGAAACAGGTGGATAATAAGACTGGGACACAATGGCTGGAAAATGTGCGGAAAGAAGGGGATGGTCACGTCAAACTCTAACATCAGACAAACAAGGGAATTCGTAGATCGCCTGCATGTAGGGAAGATCACGGGTTCCCAATACATCTCTTACTTCACGGAAGGGTTGTCTACCTCGGGCCAATAGGGTATCCAATAGTCGCGCTCAGGAGCCGTCATTACCCGGGCAATGCCAACCTGCGTGATCGATGTCATCATAACCGGTTCTGCACCTACATATATTGCTGTCAACGAGGTTTATTCTGTAGAGATGTGCGTTTAACGAGTAGTGGTTGGAAATAAGTCTTGATATCACGCAAATGAATCCCCGACTTACATCCAGACCTTTGTACCGCGCTCTCGAATAAACATTTGGAGTAATGGAATGTAACCACCGCCCAAGAGAATTACTTGTCCAATCGTTTTGCCAACTTAGAAGAGAACTCTGACGTACTAATGGGAAAAAATCATCAAGTTAAATTCTTCTATCATTATTGCTTCAATGGGTTTAATGAACTTACGGGAATCACTAATATCGTCTATCGATTTTATCCGTTTGTTGATGATTTGGTGAGCCCAGTGTAAATAATGGCGGTTCACTTCATAATCAATGTTTGGAGCCGTTTTAGCTCTAATGCAGCTTTATGCAGAAAAACACCGTTTAAACACTTAACACTAGCACATAATAATTTATTCAAACTGAACTTAGACCACACAACTAGCACATTTATTAAATAGTAGTTTTACTAAGGCAATACAAAATCACATAGTGATGTTTCACTTTCCTCTATCTTCGACCGTCTTCGATGCGAATAGTAGTAGCACTGTTCTGTTGTAGCTACGATGAGGATTCGCCGTTCTCACTCTCCTTATCAGATCAACATTTGTAGTGGTAGAACGTTCACTGAGCATGTCGTAGGTATTGAAAGTAGTCAATCCATTCTTTCTCCCGTATGACTCGCTGTGTCACGTCGATCACGTACTGCTATCCAGGACCATTTGCATATTACATGCAAACATCCTGCCTCCCTCAGAAATAACCATTTCTGCACATTGCTGCTAATGTTGTTGTGACGACTGTTGGTGATGCTGATGAAGACTGCTCCTGGCTGGCCTTGCGGTATATCCCTCAGTTAGAGTGGTGAGATGATACATGTAAAGAAAAGACCCGGTAGATCCGGAGAAAATAGCTGGACAGATTGGACAGGTCGTTACCTTGGATATTGGGCCTTGTATTTATTTGTTCTCTCCGGATGATGATGTGCCAACATTGATGCTTGCGATAGCCGCACCGCCGTTAGATCCTTTGTCGTCATAGAGTGAAGATGCTACCGGTAGAAAGGAAAGTTTTGCGACAGGACGAGTGATGAACCCACGTGGTGTTTGAAGTGTAACAACACGCACAATACCGTCCTTGCCGGGGTGAAGTTCGTGGATCCTGCCAGTCGGCCATTGCATTGATGGTAGATTCTCCTCCTTGATGATCACAAGACGATTCTTCTCTATTTTTACCGGAGGATTGCACCACTTGGCTCTGAGCTGCCATCGATTCCAAATTTTCTGGAACATCTTCTGCGTCTGCTGCCACTGAGTCAACCGATTGTACGGGACCGAATCGAGGTTGACGTCCGGAACAGCCTTCAATGTCGAGCCCACAAGGAAATGACCCGAGGTAAGAGGATCGAGGTCAGAAGGGTCGTCGCTTAATGAAGTGAGTGGACGGGAGTTTAGACAACATTCAATTTGAGCTAGAAATTGTCTCCATATCATCGTACGCCAACACTCGAGAACCTAGTACCCGAGTAAAATACTTCTGAGCTGATTTGATCGCCACCTCCCAAAGTCCGCCAAAGTGAGATCCTTTGGGAGGATTAAAGTGCCAACGGATTCCGTTTTCCGTACACTCTCGAGCTACCTGGTCATTTGTGTTCCTTGCTTCTCAAAAGCCGCTTCAGCTCATTCGCTGCACCCACAAAATTCTTCCCATTGTCTGAGTAGGCGTAGGCGTCTGAGCACAGCCCACGGCGTGCCACAAACCGCCGGAAAGCTTGCAGGAACTTGGCAATAGTCAAATTCACAACGAGTTCAAGGGGAACCGCTTTCGTCGCAAAACATACGAACACAGCTACGTATGCTTTGATCGGTGCATCGCGCCTGTGCCGTGGTTGGATGTAGATTGGTCTCCAAAAGTCTATTCCAACTTTAGAGAAGGGTCGTGATGCAGTCACACGAGCAGCCGGGAGCTCGGACATGAACTGTTCGATGAGCTTAGGTCGTGCGCGTACACAGGTGACGCATTTGTGTACGATCTGCCGAGCCACACTTCTTCCGCCCAAGAGCCAGTAACGGATTCGAATCGTATTGACCATCAGTTGAGGAGGAGCATGTAGTAGTTTCTGATGTACGATAGCAAGAGCAATGTCGACAAAGAGTGAGAGCCTGGCAGCAGGATTGGGTGCTTGAAGTCTTCATGTTTTACTGACTGGCCCAGACGACCACCGATCCGGATGATTCTATCGCTGGGAAAGATCATTGGATGGAACCATTTCAGTCGAGAGCTTTTCGAAATTGACTGTCCGTTCTCCAATCGCTTCCATTCATCCGAAAAGCATTGTTGCTGCAGTAATCGTATGAGTGCGTGTTCAGCAGATTTTAGTTCATCAGTCGTGAGGAAGATGAATATCCGATCTTCCTTTCGTATTAGCAAAAATGAAAAGAAGCGTCGCCAGTAAGCAGTAATTTGTACCATTTTCGAGTAGTTGGAGAATTTAGCAACGTATTCATCGATGTCATCGATGTTGCAATTATCAGTCGATCCGCACTGCTGTCCAGGAACAGGCCAATACTCCTTTTCTTTCTGCAACCATTCTGGACCTCTCCACCAGAGTGTGTTGTAGATGATATCTGACGCCAAGCAACCACGAGATATCACGTCAGCCGGGTTTTCCAGTCCTGCGATGTGTTTCCAAGTACAATACTGCGTTGCATGCTGAATCTTGGACACCCTGTTGGCAACAAAAGTAGTCCAAGTGGACGGAGTGGCCTTGAGCCAATTGATGACTGTCGTGGAATCAGTCCAGAAGATAGTAGAGAACGTCATCTGAAGAGAAGCGGCGATTCGTAGATATAACTCGGCGAAGAGTAGAGCACCACACAATTCGAGCCTGGGTGTGCTTTGTTTTTTCAAAGGTGCGATTCTGGACTTCGACGTCAGAAGAGCGATTTTGATTTGTCCATAGTTGTCGATTGACCTCAAGTAGGCACAGGTGCCGTATCCGATGTCGGAAGCATCCGAGAACAGGTGAAGTACAATCTCGACTGATTTCGGGAGAAGAACAAAGCGATCAATTCTCAATTCGTTAAGCGCAGGAAGATTGGAGTGATCGTTGATCCATTTATCCCGAAGACTTGATATAAGCTCTCGATCCCACTCCCAAACCGTTCCATTTTCGTCTCCATTTTCGAGCGTTTTGATCGTTTGATCACGATCGAGATCGATGGAATGCTGAAGAGCACGGTTTTCATGCGGGACGCCCTCTAGAACGGTCTCACAGTTTGATGCCCATTTTCTTAGCTGGAAGCCTCCCCGGGAAAGCATGGCGTCGAGTTGCTCCCGAAGCTTGATTGCTTCTGCTACGGTTGCTGCTCCAGAAAATAAGTCATCGGCATAAAAATCCTTCTCGACGACTTTTGCTGCTATTGGGAAATTATCGGCCTCGTCACTAGCTAGCTGCTTTAGGACACGTGTCGCCAAATAAGGAGCCGATGCAGTCCCGTACGTGACGGTCTTGAGAACGAAAGTTTGTAGTGGTTGGTCCGTAATACTTGGCGATACATTTTTTCGGCGTGTGGAATTAGGATGACTTCGTGGGTTCGGGAACGCATAACAATCGATCGCAAATCGTCCTGTACGACGGGACCGACAAGAAGAGCGTCGTTGAGTGAAATTCCTGAGCTCGTCTTGCTAGACGCATCGAAAACGACGCGTAGCTTCGTGGTCGTGCTGCTCTCTTTAATCACTGGATGATGTGGTAAATAGTACTTCGGATGGAGCTCATGTGGCCAAGTTGCGCATACTCAGCCATGAAATCCCGATACTGCTGAGCGATCGAAGCATTACGAGACAGCCGATTCTCCAACAAGCGCAAACGATGCAGAGCCGATTTCTTGTTGTCACCCAACCGCTGAGTTACAGTTTCCTTGAAAGGGAGTCTCACCATGTATCGACCCGACGAATCACGTGCAACAGTACGCTGAAAGAACTCTTCGCAGGCAGTTTCGTTCGGGGAGTAATTCGCAGCAGATGGGTCTTCCTCAATTTTCCAGAACTTCTCCATGTCGTTGTGTAGTTCGGCTATCGTTGCAACATTGCAGCGAACTGACCTTTCTGGATAGCCCTGAGAAGTTTTTCCTGATACCACCCACCCAAATACCGAGTTGGTGAGCGACGGAAGAGAATCTCCAAGCAAAATGCGTCCTGGAACAGAGAGTAGATCGAAGAATATTTCTGCCCCCAACACGATATCGATAGTGCTCGTTTTGAAAAAGCCAGGATCGGCAAGATCAAAATTGGCAGGAATGCTCCAATGATCGATGTCCAAGTTGACCGATGGCAGATCAATAGTGACCTTGGGCAGAATAAGCAAATCGACGCAGGTAAAGTAATTCGAATTTCGGGATTTGATGACGGCTCGAAATTGGTGCTTCACATTAGCAGAGGACTTTCTGATTCCAGCTATCGGCACATCGACTCTCCTTCGTGTAACAGTCATCGCCTGAGATAACTGTGTAGTGGCGAAGCAACATTCGCTCCCAGAATCCAGTAGAGCTCGTGCGAAATGTTGTGACATGTGAAATTTATATTGTCTTGGTTTGCGTCTCACCACGTTTGACAGATCTGGTCGCCCGTTTGACAGATCGAATTGCTCATTTGACAAATTGAATTGTGGACAAACGAAACGCTATGTGTCCGACACATAGATATCATTTGTTGATCACATTGTAAAAATTCATGAGTGGGACACATAAAAACAATATTTGAAATTTTATTAGTGCAGGGAACCGAAATTTGCATGAATTTTTCGTAGTGTGCAGTTCAATCGAGAGCTTCCTGGTAAATAAATCGATTTTGTTTTTCCCTCTCCAATTTCTATGAAATATCGTATATTTTTTCTAGAGTCGGTGTATAATGAGTCACGCCAAAAGTGAAGCCAAGTCTACCTATTAAACTGTCAAATCGGCTTCCTATCGTGCAAAGTAAACAAACATTACGATGCTATGAAAGGTTCACGAAAGGTATTGCAATAAAATATAAAATATAATCGAAGCAATCATCATAAACACGCAGTGAGCATTAAATTGTCATGGGATACGTTTTATAATGATCAGTAATGAGAATTTCTACTTTTTTTGTTCAGATAATTTGACAAAATCACTGAATTAACGATTTACTACAGCCGCTATTTTTTTTCTCGCTAGAAGTCATTTGAAGTTGATGTAGAAGTCCTCTGTTGCCAAGTGAAAAGAAAGGGAATCTTTCGAAAACCGTGATGCGAGTTCAACTGTTTTTCGCTTGGCGTGACTCATTATACACCGACTCTAATTTTTTCTTTAAGGATTACGTGAAGGAAAATTTTGACATCTCAGACGGCATTTCGTTCTGTGATTTATTGAAAAATAACGAATTTACCATTTTGAAAAATTAGTCGAGAGTCAAAATGGCGAAATACCAGCACAACTTATTGGTTCATTGCCTCTTGCGGACGAAATTTCATGGAATTCTGAGAGGTAAAATCAAAAATGTTTATTTTTTCGGTATTTGCACTCATAGAAAAAATCTTGTATATTTAGGTGCTGTGAGAGTGACATATACGAGCGTCAATTTTGTCATAAAGTTGAGTCATAACAGATGTCAAAAATTGCTAATCAAACTTACTTTGTATCGAGCAACGAACTTTTCAGTCTCGGAGCACTTAAGATTAAGCACATTTAGATTTTGTCGAAAACATCGATTTTGACGTAGAACTACGTCTTTGTCGACTATACTGGGGTGCAAATCAAAAAATATGTGTGGTGAAGGAGTGTTAGGTTTTGAACGCTTGTAACTTTGTCATTTATAGATGAAATAGGATATTACATTACAAACTTGCTGAAGTAAACATTTCTCCAATTTTGCTGCAATTGAACTTTTGAAAATGTACAAATGATAATTTTATCACTGTTTTCATGAAATAAGCCTTTTTTTTCCCAAACCCAGTCATCATAAACGAATACCACTTGGATGCACATTATTCTGCTTGAACCTGGAAAGATATAAATCAGCACTGCTCTCCTGCCTCTGCTCATTACCGCTTCGGACGGCGTGGCACTAGGTCCTGCATCAAGCAGGACTAGGTCAGCGGCTAAAGGTGGATCACGGCGTGTCCACCACAATGAGGAATGAGACTTGAAAAAACGTGCATTAAAACCCCCTCCCCCTTAACATAACCCGAAAAAGACATGGACGATCATTTTTTCCGGGAAATAAATTTTAAGCAAACCACAATTATGTATAAACAATTAAATTTTTACATGCAGAGCTAACATTTAAAAAAAAATTGCTTAACAGATACACTCAATGAATTACCAACAACTGACTGTAAAAGTAGCAGTAGTAAAATTATGTTTATTTCTGTTGATTATGGTAGTACATTGATTTATCATATTAATTGATTAGCCTACCTGGCTCTTCATCTTTGTTTACTTTGATATTCTAATTAAATATTTGCGTTTTTCAACTAGTTCAAGATCAACCATTGAAAAGGCCTTAACTCCATTTTGTAAACAAACCTTGTAAGGCCATTTTCTCGCGAACCAAAACCTTCATTCGCAAACCTAAACCACAATCGGGTAGAGGAGAATTTCCCCTACCTGTTCATTATGTTGGTTTGCCTTTGCGGACTTCGGTACGCGAGAATATGGCCTTACAAGATTTTTTTACAAAATGGAGTTAAGGCCATTTCAATTGTTGGTCTTGAGTTTACAGAATACCCCTTTGGGGATGTATTTTATTTGACTTGAAAAAAGTGATAACCTACCTAACTACGAGTATAACTTAACCTAACGTGCTAGATCACGTATGATCTGATGATTTGATCTCAGACAGAAGTCTCTGAACCTTTCCAGGATGACTACTCTCCGTTCTTCTAATGTCTGAATTCCAGCCAGGAGGTGGATCTCAGAATTTCTAGTCCGCGGGAGACTGTTTAGGACCATCCTAAGGATCTTGTTTTTGATCCTTTGGAGTTTAAGGTGATGGCATTTTGCGCAACTCTCCCAGATTGGCATACCGTACTCAATTACAGGAAGGAGGATTTGTTTGTAGACACAAGCTTATTTTTCAGGGACAGGGTTGACTTCCTGTTGATAAGTGGATACAACGATCTTATCAAGATGTTGCACTTGGTTTTCGTTTTGTCAACGTACTCTTTTAAAAGAAGCTCGCTGTCTAGTGTTAGCCCGAGGTACACGACCTCTTTGGACCATTCCACCACTGTGCCGTTCAGGCAGATCTTGTTATTCTCTGACGGAACAAGTCTAGGAGATTTAGAGTGTGGAAAGATAATGACCTGGGTCTTTGCCGCGTTGATACGGATCTTCCAGCTGTTGAAATATTCAGACAGGACGTCCAGGCCTCTCTGAAGTTTGGCAGTCAGAGCTCCGATGACCCTACCCTTGTAAACGATGGATGTGTCATCTGCGAACAGAGACAACGATCCACCATCAAGGAGAGCCGGCATATCGGAGGTGAACAGGTTGAATAGGATGGGGCCAAGGATGCTTCCTTGTGGAATCCCGGCACCGATGTTGAAAGCATCTGATGTGATGTCATTCAGAGAGACTCGGAACGTCCTGTCTGATAGATAGATAGATATATCATGATATATAGATATATATATATATATCACTAGGAAGATTGGAAGACCATACTGCTCAATTTGAACACCAGGCCATCATGCCAGACATTGCCGAAGCTTTTTCAACGGCCAACAACGTTATGGCAGATGTTTTCGAAACAGACTTGTTCCGTCTGAGAATGTTTGTTACTCGAGTCAGCTGATGGACAGTCGAACGACCTTCCCGAAAACCAAACTGTTCTTCGAGTAACAAGTTGTTTTCATCGGCAGATGTTAGGAGCCGGTGGAACACTGCTCTTTGGAACAGTTTTGATAACCTTGAGAGAAGGCTGATTGGTCGATAACTTGAAGGAGAGGACGGATCCTCCCCAAGTTTTCGGATGAGTATGACTTTAGCTGACTTCCAACACGAGGGGAAGTAGCCAAGTCTGAGGCACTGATTAAAAATCAGTGCCAGATGGTTGTAGAATCTGGAACTCAAGTGTTTGAGTTCCAGATTCAGGATGTTGTCGAAACCTGGGGCCTTCATGTTTTTAGATGATTTGGTATAGGCCAACAGTTCGTCAGTCGTAATCTCGGATTCCTCTGGAAAAATGTTAGGAATCTGAAGAAGATTGGTTGCATTTTCAGCAACCTCAGATTCATGAGGGCTGACGATGTTTTGTCCGAGATTATGGGAGCTGACGAAGTGTTGACCTATCGTGGCAGCCTTCTCTTCAGGAGTTATCAGGTGAACCACTGGGTCGCCGGGACGATCCAGTGGGGTCAGTGGTGGAATGGGCCTAGGCTTGTTTTTAATAATTTTTGTAAGTTTCCAGAAGGGCTTAGCACAATCTGGGAGAGAGCGAATCTTACTAGCAAAATCGTTATTTCTGAGATCCACCATCCTGGCCTGAATGATCTTTGTTAATCGATTACAATTGGTCTTCATGCTAGGCAGGCCAGTACGCTGGTACTGCTTACGAATGGTGTTACGGAGTCTAATGAGATCTTTGGTAGGGCTGTCAAGGTTCAGAGTGTTACTCACCTGTCTGGATACTGGCACGTGTTGTTCCCTGGCCCGGGAAATTGCCTCCTCGATGGTTTGTAGACACCGGTCAACATTTTCCGACGTTCCCGGTTGGACATCGTAGTCGATGGTTGTGTCGACGCAGTGTTGATATTGCGCCCAGTTGACTCGATGGTAGTTGCGCCGGGAAGCTTCGAATCGGTTTACCGAGGATCCAACTTCGGCCACCACTGGGTAGTGGTCCGAGCTCAGCTCCTGGAATGCCACAGGTTGCAAGATGTTGTGTCCCATGTTGCTTACGAAGATGTCGATGGTCGCATGGACCCCAGACAGACTCAACCGGGTGGGAGAGTCCAGGGCCAAGATGGTATAGTGGCCCTCTTGCAGGTCTTCATTGAGGATGATGCCGTTTCTATTGCTCCGACCATTGTCCCAAGCTTGGTGTTTTGCGTTCAGATCGCCAGCGATGATAAAGTTCCCGCTCCTCCGGGTGAGTTTGATGATGTCTTTCCCGAAGGCCACTGACGACCCGTCCCTGATGTTGGTTTGCTTGGGGCAGTAGGCCGCGATGATGGTGATTGGGCCAAGTGATGTGCTCACCTCCACTCCGATGGCTTCAATTGTTTTCAGCTGGAAGTTTGGTACCTGCCGGCAAGTGATGTTCCGTCTTGCAACGATGGCCACTCCTCCACCTCCAGAGCAGGTGCGATGTTCAGTTCGGGCTTCAAATGCGTCTCGGTGATGATAGCAATGTCGACCTCCTTGGTGCTGAGAAAATCGAGTAGCTCTCTACGCTTGTTTGTCAGTGAGCAAGCGTTCCAATTTGCAATTTTTATAGCTTCACGGTCCATACTTGGTGACGAGTGAC